TAGGTCGGATGCTCACTAAACGTACAATATTGTTCATTTAGAGGAAACCGTGAATTTTCACTTAAATTACAAATATGACACCGAATTTTTTTTGGCCTGTATTAGTGTTTGGGCCGTCTTTCTTACTTAGGCCGGGTGTACGTACACCCGGATGCACTATATACGAACTGCAGCTAGGACATCCACGTAGACATCTCACCGGGTAGATTGGCTACCTATTAAATACTCCCTCCGTCCCTCTGTTATTGTCCCATTGCGGTTTACGATGCTTGACCGACGATAAAGCAAACAGATCCCTGTCCGCACTCAAATTATTTTTAGGAAAAAAAAATTACATATTCAGAAACTACATTAAAAGATTTACAAAGTCGCAGAAACCATAATCAAATTTGATAAAAATTGGATACATAAAGTAAGAGATTAAGAGTGATTTGTGTTGATCAAGTGAATAAGAAATGAGACAATAATAGAAGGACGGAGGGAATAGCAAATTTGGTCGTGTTTAATAGTTTGTAGTTTGCGGACTTGATTGACTCAGTAAAAATTACATTGATTAAATTGTTTTTTTATGAAAAGTACTTGAACATATTAATAATTAAGATTGTCCAAAATTTATGATCAAAATTTGGGAATCCTACATGGTATCAAATCTGAACTCTAGTTGTGGTCTAGGTGAAATCAATCCATTCTTAATTCTCATCCTGACTAGTGTATCACCCGGGGGCATGTCCCGGTAGTGTCACTTTGATTTAAAATTGGTTTTCAACTTCTTTATTTTTAGTGCTAGCTCGTTCTCATGTAGAATCACCCCCATGCCACGAAGAGTTTTATGGAAAAGCTTTACTCCAATATTATTTTTCTTTAATAGTGCTTGTTTTTATTTTAGTTAGATTAGATTTGGTTTGAATATTTTGAATTTTGATGGAGTACTTTTGATAGAGAGTGTTTTGGTTCCTGACTTTTTAAACTTAAAATGACAGGTTTTGTATCTATCAAATCAGGTTGCTTTATATGAGATGATTGTCTCTAAGTTTAGATGTTGTCTTTTATGCTTTCTTGATATTAATATAAATGGTAGGTCTTTTATATTAAAAATCTCCTTTTAGCCCGATAACCCCGATTTGATCTTCAACAACCTAATGTAAATTAAGTTCAATTTCCTAGCATATGTTTGGGATTGTTTGTTGGGAAAACAATTTTCTAGTCAAATTAAAGCAAGTTTTGAAGTGGATTCATTGATTTATTTTAATTTTAATATACCATTGATATCACTAATAATACATTTAAGTTACTTTGGTTTTTTTTCATATAAGTTGTTTTTATTTTAGATAACAACATACAATTTTCCACTATAAGTTAATGTGTTTTAAAAAATTGAAATGATATCCCACTTTACAGAATTACTCCATAAATAATAATAGTAATAATAATAATAATAGGACAATGGATAAGTATAATTTTTAAAGTTTAATTAGCACTAAGTAATACATGATAAAAATAAATGAGCTGCAGAAAAAGTGTAAATTTTAATTACAATTTACAATTACCAAGCAAGAAACATGTGTAGTTATATAGATACTGGATTTTATGCTAGTGTTGCAATACTCTATTCTAATATGTTTATATTTGTTTGTAAATAAAAAAACATGTGCAGTTATATAGATACTGGATTTTTTTTATATTTGTCTGTAAATATTTTTTATTTCAGTGCTACACTGCCTGTACTTCTTAAAGTGATTCGTGGTTCATGTCACACAATAGTTTGTATCTTTTTTATGTTATTAAATAATACCTTTGTCCCAATTTACTTAGCTATCTTTGATTTTTCCAGTCAAATGTGATAAATGTTTACTAATTATTTAAACTAATATATTTTTGCAAAATTTAATAATTTTATACTTTAATGGTAGTATTTTTGAGTTTTTTCTCAAAATAATGTCAAAACAAAAAAATATTTTCCAAATTAAATACTTTATTGCCACTTGAAGTGGCGGCTTAAGCAAAGAGAAAGCACTTTGCTTAAGGAAAGAGAGTGCACGTTATGGCGCAAGGCCAAAGCAAAAAAATAAGGTAATGAGTCCCACCCAAAATAAAATCTCTAATTTTCTTTAAAGTGTCATAATTTTTTTAGTTGTATTCTGATTGTTAAAAAATATATCAAAATTCATAATTTTTTATTACCTTTCATATGACACCAATAACGAATATATAAAAAATCAAAAATAATTTAACACTTTAAAAATTATCTGCTTTAAAACACTATAACTTTTTTATTTGTATTCCGATTATTACAAAAAATATATCAATTTTTTTTAATTGTCTTTCATATGAAAGCAATGTTTTATATGTAAAAATAAAAAAATAATTTAACACTTCAAAAACATACTACGGGTGTTTTTTCAAAATGTTATAAAATTTTTATTTTTACTTCAATCGTTACAAAAAATATATCAAAATTTATAATTTTTATTACCTTTCATATGACACCAATGTTGCATATAAAAAATAAAAAAGATCTATTAACTTGTGCACTTTATAATCGTTTTTTATCTTGCACGCTATTAATTTGGAGTGATGACTTCGAATAAAATATCATAAATTCTCGTGCAAAGAATAAAATTAGTAAATAAAAGTGATGGAGCTTTTGCAATTTTATCTTAATCTATCCGTCCCGATTAATTATGTGTGCGTTAAAAAACGATCCTAAACTGCACAAACTATTAGATTTTTTTGTTTAATTTTATATACAAAACATTGTTTTCACATGAAAGATAATAAAAAATTATAAATTTTGATATATTTTTTGTAATAATCGGAATACAAATAAAAAAGATATATATTTTTAAAAACACATAATTTTTGAAGTGTGATTTTTTTTTTTGATTTTTATATAGTCATTATTGCTGTCATATGAAAGGTAATTAAAAATTATGAATTTTGATATATATTTTTATAACAATCAGAGTACAAATAAAACATTTTGATATTTTAAAGAAAATAGGAGATTTTATTTTGGGTGGACCCATTACCTTATTATTTTTGCTTTGGTCTTGCGCATCACGTGTTTTCTCTTAAAGCGGCTGTTCTCCTGACCCTAGTTTATTTGAACAGTATTTTGGGAAATACTTTTAACCTAACATTAATTTGGGAAATAGTTTTTTGTTTAACGTTATTTTGAGAAAAAACTCAGTATTTTTATCAAAAAATATTTTCATATCATTTTCATATTATTAATACTTTCTCTATATAAATATATAATCGGTCAAAGTTAGACGTCATTGACTTGAAAAGTCAAGTTTGGCTAAGTAAAATTGGATGGAGGGAGTAGTTTGAATTTCTAATGCATCAAAAAAAGAATTTAGTAACAAATTATTCCCAAGAAGATTACTAAAAAATTCCAATTAAAACAGATAAGATGAAGCTCATAAGTTTGACATAAAAAGTAGTGATTTTAATATAGTAAGTCCGCCTTTCAAAAAAACATATAGTAGAGTGATTTTAATGTTCAGGTCCGGAATTTAGGACCAGAATCGCCGTCCGGCCGACGGCTTTTGGGACCCTTCCCGGTGGCTGTTTTCGATGAAATTTTTATGGCATGTTCTTCATCAAGTCTAGTTTATGCACAAAAAAATTCAGCTAAAAACTCAATCTGGAAGGTCGTCAAATGATTTTTAGAAGTTAACTGCGTTTTATATGCATTTTTTTGCGCACTTAACTTCAAAAAATCATTTGATGACCTTCAGGATTGAGTTTTTAGCTGATTTTTTTTGTGGATAAACTAGACTTGATTAAGAACATGCCATAAAAATTTCATTAAAAAATCCATCGGAAAAAGCCCCAAAAGCTGTCGGCCGGACGACGGTTCCGATCAGGAAGGCCTGACCGGAACACTACTCAGTAGAGTGTATGTTTAATTAAATTCTATAAAAGTAGTAGCCAACATCACGTAGGAGTTCTTCAAAAAACAAAAAATCACGTAGGAGTTTCAATAGTAGGGAGTTTACAACATTTACTGAATGACTCCGTAATAACTAACTGTTTTAATATAATAATAATAGTTATTTGTGTTAACCAATAAGAGAGTAGTTCGAACTATATAAAAGAAAAGATAATAAAGCTACTGGCTATTTCCACTCTTGCTCTTTCGAGTAGTTCGAACTATGAAGCCTCAGGAATAAGGTGAAGCTCTTTCTCTTGCAAAACATAACTATTGCCAGTTCACTAGTTACAGCACTACATCTCCAGTAGTCTTTATTAAAAGCTGGGAAAACAATGGCAGTCAAAACCGTAATTATATTCGACTTTCATCGGACGCTGATCGACGACGACTCCGACCGATGGGTTATCGAACAAATGGGCGTCACCCATTTGTTCAACCAGCTCCGACTCACATTGCCTTGGACCTCTCTGATGGTTAGCATTTTAGTTTGCAACTCACTGCTTTTGTTTTTAATGGTAGAAATTTACTCCTAGAAAAGAAGATTTATTTGCTATGTTTGGAGTAAACAATTTTCTGATCTTCTTACAAGAGCGTGTAAATGTGGAGGAATTTAACTATTCAAGTACAACTTTTATTCGATCTTTAATCCATTTTTTGAGTTCTCTGTGTGTGGTGATATTTGGTCAAAATAACAATCCACATTTGAAATATGCGAAATGTGGAATTGGCTAAAATTGTTGAAATTATAACAATTGTAAGAGAAAATTTGCTAAATAAGCTAAAGTATGAGAAAATTTATTTAAAATATATTTCATTAAGAGAGCAAAGACAAAATTATATGAAAAATGCTAAAGGGATTTCAGGTTTAGTAGTTTGGTATCAAAATTGGCTCATAGGCCTCAGAGGGGTTAACAAACGGTCTCTAAATATCTCTTATTGAAAAATCCTCTGTACCCAGGAAGTAAAAGAAATGTTGCAGACACAAGAATATAATAAGTAAACAACCATTAGAAACAGTGTGGGGCCTTTTAGATTATTTTCTTTTCTATAAAGTGCTGATTGAAAAGGCATTTTATTACAATATACGGAGTATTAGATTAGTACTACGGAGTATTTATTTTGTTACCATATTACATTTGTTTTCTTATTCAAATAGGTCTCCTTATCTCTAGAGATTTAGGTACCTCCTCTATGATTAATAAAGCAAGTCTTTTCGCATAATTTATTCTCCTAATACGCCCTGTTGGAGAACTCAAGTTTTGCTACAAACCAGTCTGTCTTCCTTTTGCAGATGGATGGTTTAATTGCTAGGATTTCTTGCAATAGATTTGTGTAAACAAATTATCAAAATAATCCATCACAAGACATCCTTCACATGTTGAAAATCCTTTATTCTCGTGATGAAATATGAAAATTATGAAAGACTATTGTAGATGCATAGAGAGGTTCCCCTGCATCCGAGGACATTGTTCTGATTCTGATTCTAGACTCAGATAGGTCCTGCTCCGGATAGGTCCTGCTCCGGATCTATTTTTTAAAAAATTGCAGCAAAGTCGAAATTGGCCAGCCCGGTCATATTTTAGAGACTGAAACTGCACTGGTTCCCAGTGAAGCGGAACCACGGTTCAGGTACCAGTGAAAATCCGGGGAGGCCTTGTCCCAAACTAGGACAGTGTCCACCAGCCACAGTGTCCAGCAGTATATCCAGGACCAAAGCTGGCAAGGACTGACTGAAAATGACACCGCCAGTTCTAAGAACCACAATCCGAGACTGCCGCGCCCAGAAAATTGGAAGCTTAGCGGGAACACAACTTCAACCTGTCCACCACCCTTACGTTCAATGTTTGGGACTATTTGGACACCAAATAACATTCTGTTCAAATATTTAAAATAATATGTTAAAAATTATATTGAAAGTATTTAAAGTAATTACAACAATATCTAAAAAATGAGATGTTAAAAGAATTTCCAAACAGAAGCATCAATCATTCTGCTCGAATAAATATTTTAAAAAAATATTCCATGGTTCTTGCACTAGCGAAAACCCAATGTGTTGCCATGGTGTTGAACTCCATAGCAGATACCAGTATATACTTTGGTACATAATGTGTTCCTAAGCATGTGTACATGGCTAGGGCTCAGCATGTAGATGCTATCACTATTCTTTCAGTATTTTGTCAACGACACAATGTATATGAGATCCTATATAAAAAGGAGTATAAGGTTGGAAACATTGAACGTAAGTAACATTCCCTGGGGACTTGACTCAGCTAGCTATGCTGCCAACATCGCTTACTATTACCTTCAGCGAGTTTTCTTCTGCAAGAGGACCCATTTTTCAAAGTTGCCCCACAAGTTCTCACAGAATTGCTCCTTTCATCCTTACTAGCAGTAGTTTTGAAAGGACTAATAATAAGACACTGAGTAATATCTTGTTTATTCCTCAGACCTTCATCTTGTGAATCATCATAGGATTTTTGCATCTCAGATTGAATTTCTCTCTCTTTCCCTTTCCCGGGAATTCTCCTTCCCTTGTGCTCTATGCACCTTTTGTTCTTCCCAAATGGTTTACTCACACAAGTGGAACCATTTTCTAGGAGAAAGCCACAAATACGAGTGTCTTCTGAATTCTTCTCATCATTAGCAATCAACTTTGGAGTTAATAATCCGTTAATCTTCATCCCCCTATGCTCAAAACACCTTTTGCTTCCCTTACTCACAGGTGACCTTATACAAACTGACCCATGGCCTAGTGCAACTCCACATATACTACTGACATGGTTTTCATTCACCCCAGAGTTAACTGAAACTATTGTTGGCCGGGATCTCCCAAATTTGAAAATCTGGGGAAGGAAGTGACTGCTTTTAGCATCATCATAGAATTGAGATCCGTTCTGCAAAGGAAGAGGCTCACAAGCTTCAATTTTAATGCCTTTTGGTTTTTGAAATGATGACTTGAGCCTAGTAATGATAGAAGGGATGATAAGGGGGAGAGAAGATGCTCTTGATGAGATGAGATCAAGTTTGGAGAGGACATCTTTATCACGTCTTGCACCGTTACTGTCTGTGTTCCATGCATAATCAAATGTATCAAGCAGTTGAGTTTCTGCCTTCTCAGCATCCTTCTTGCTTTTCATCTGTAACAATCAAACAAATTGATCAAGAAATATTATCTGCATCATCTGTTCATCATCAATACCTTAAATCCCAACTATGTCGGGGGTCAGAGGTGATATTTCTAGCGTCAATTATCTAAAATGAGTTAACACACTAAGTGATCTTTTTGTAGTCATTTTTTCCCATCTTATTAGCCTCAGGAGTCAGCTTTTTACACCAAACACTAATTTACTTGCTCGAGAAAATATTTTCACCTCTTATATTATCATAAATTTATCAAACAATTATTTGTTGAATATGTTGGAACATGTTAGAATATTCACCAATTTTAGCCAAATTTACTCATACCAATGAGGATCAAAATATCAAGACTTCGAAGTTTGAATCATACTAATCTTAAAGTCAATGAACTCATTGTTAAGGGTTGCCAGAATCGAATGATAAGTCACCTCACATGGTTTAAATATAAGGATAATATTCACATATAACATCTTGGACAACTCCTCCAATCCCGTTGACATTTGAGTATAAAAGACCCATTTTTAATATGGTATCCGAGCACATTAAGTTGCAATGAACAATTCACTCCTGATAAGCCTCAATACAGAACACAGAATTCTAGATTGGTTTAATTCAATGAGCGAGGCCATTCCACACCCACTTTAGATAGAGCCTTATATTAGTCTATTACTTTTAATTGATATCATGAAATCAACATGCAAATCACAAAACATGAGTATATTACTCCGTAGTAAAGAACATTGAAGGAATTAAAACTCTACTTACCGGAGCCCACCTATATGCAATGGTGAAGCCTCTAGAAAAGGAACTTGTGAAGAATGAAGGCCCCTTAAGGCATATGGCATCTTTGTCCAAAGACAAATCACCTTTTGCGCAACCATTCTCTAAATGAGAACCATCGCGGCCATACTGCTGAAGTCTAGTCCTAACGTTGTCAGCTTGTCCAACATAAACTGGAACAACATCGGCAGTATCAAAATTGTTTTTGTTAGTCTCTAGCCTTGATTGAGCATTTGGAACTGAGATAATACCAAGCTCATAAATTCCCGGGCAAGAAGCAGAGTTTGGAAGGTTCTGAGTTCTGTATCTTTCAGCCCCCTCCACACCCAAGACGTAGTCTTGCCAATCAGATGGCCCAACCAAAATCTGGAATGAAAATGCACCATACTTTGTTACAATGACCTTTCTCATATAGAAACACAATTTCAATTTGTTTCAATCTCAATGAAACAGCGTTTAAGCATTCAAAATTGTTTTCACCCGACGTTTACATTATTATAAGAAAAGGAGGTAATATAATATACGAAATCCAGATCCAGGGTATTAGAAAAAGGCCAGTGAAATTTGAAATTGAAAGGAGGGGTGAAATGGATGTACCTTCCATTCGGAGAAAGCAGAGTCGTGCTTAGTGCGCTTGCACTCTTCTCTGTACAGCCTATGGCTGGCAGCGGCGGCCGGCATGGAGAGCAGAGTGGAGCGGTGACTCTGGCGGCTGGATCTGGTTGGGCGGAGGTGGACCCTGCTTGGAGTTGTTCGTGAACATTTGACCGTTGCTGGTGCCTGCGCCTCTTATGTATGAGTACTGTTTTAAAATTCGGTTGGGCCATAATCGAATTAACGGATCATTAGTTGAATGGGTTGATCCAATTTATATTTATGGGAGAAGCTCAAAAATGACACTAGAGTTATTTATGAAGTTCAGATTAGACACTAAGCTTTTAAGTAGACCAAATTAACACATAATCAACTAATTTGAACTATATTTGGCCACCTATTTATATTTCCGTTCAACTTGAAGGTACGCTGAGTCAAAACAATGTTTTGGGAGGAGGTATATGTGCTGGTTTTGGGTTTTCAAAAAAGCTGGCTTCCATCCATGGAGTGTGGTGAGGTTTAGTGTTCTGCCGGACAACGAATGATGGGAGCTGACGATTATTTAGGTTTAGGATCAAGAGGGGTAACCTGATAATTGACGGGATAAGGCCGTTAAGTAAGGAGTGTCCAAATATGATGTAAAAACGTGTAATTTGTGTTAATTTGGTCCACTTAAAAGTTTAGTGTCGAATATGAGTTTCTCAGAAAACTTTAATGTCAATTTTGAGCTTTCTCCCGATATTTATTAAAAAAATGGTAATGACATTGATGGAGTATATGACCTAGGAATCCCCGTCCCACATACTTCCAATACTACGATCAAGCCCAACAGGCCCAAGTTGACCCAAACACGTCAAACAAGACTCCAGGCAGCCCATACTACGCAAGGTGTTCCTTCGGCCCCATGCCCGAAGGCTCTATACTAAGCAAACGATTGAACCTGGTCCAGAAACATCGCTGGGTAACAAGGCTTGAGACACGAGCCTTCGACATTTACAGCCTTCGGGACATGATGTCCTTGGGTATGTACACCCTTCGGTACATGATGCCCCTGGGTATGTATAGCCTTCGGCAAATGAAGGCCCTAGTACGTGCAGTCGGAGGCGCTCTCCTCGACAGGATCTCCTCTCTACATGCACTGAATCATCGCATAAGGTATAACGTCACACCCAAACCACTGCATTGAATGCGGTCACATGCTATGTCGGCGCCACACTAGCTGAAGTGACCCTCCATCACTGGTTGCTTGACACGTGTACCCTCATTATCGCACCTAGCATTTTATGGCTGCTATAAATAGCAGCCAATTCTTCCATTGTAAACAACACAACAGATATATCGAATACATACTCTCTCTCTCTTACTTGCTCTGACCTCTCTCTTGATATTTCTTATAATATCCCTCGGATAAGCTACCCCCCGGGTACACTATCCATCATTTGGTGCTCTCGTTGAGAGGTCGAACGATCAAGTAAGAAACCCTCCCCCTCATAAAAACACTCCTCAGAATGGGTAGAACTCGCGGTCAATCCAAGACCTTGGAAGATAAAAACCTAGGCCTCGGTGAAGTTAACACTGCTGAAGCCTCAAACAAGGCTCCCGAGGGCGGGGCCCTCGTTGAAATGGAGCAGGTCGCTGCTGACCTGCGCCTTCAGCTCCAGAAGAATGCTCCCGACGCTCATGTCGGCCTCGAAACCTGCAGGAAGGACCGGAGCGAAAACCAAGTTAGCCCTCCGGTCCTGACTATCGACGTACAGTCGGCCTTCTCAGCCTTCATCCACACTCTCACTCATAACCCAGGCGCCTTCGGAACGTTTGTGCCACCCCAGGCACAAATCGGGGAGAAAGCCGCTCCTGTTCCACCCCCTCCACCCCTTCATGTGCCCAGTTCCAAGAACCAGAAACAACGAGGGGGTCGTTGCTCAGGACACCGCATCCCAGGAGGTCCAGTCCCGGGTTCAGCGCGGCGTGAACAAGGATAGGCCCCGGACCTCCGCCCTCAATAGGCTCGGAGGAGTGCAAGATCGTCGGGGGGTCCAAGACCGCCTCAGTGGTAAGGCATTCCAAAGGCCTCAGGAGAGCAGAGTATCCGTCTTGAGGGCAGACGAGAGGCGTCCCCCTCGGGACAAGGGCAAAGTAGGGGAGAGCACGGGTCGGGTTCGGGCGGGTCGGGCTCATAAACTTTGAACCTGTTTGGGTATCAGGGTAATATTTTACAACCCAACCCTTAAAGAAAGAAATAATTACATAAATATGACCAAAATAAAGATGATTTACAAAAATATGATTAATGATTAGAGTAGTAATGAAATCATTGTAATTCATGTTCAAGTTTTGAACTTAAATTACCACAACATCACATTGTAGTAATGAATAGTCATATTTATGTAAATATGTTTTATTTTAGTAATATTCTTGTAAAAAACCCTTAAAAAAGAAAATGGTAAAAATATTTTCGGATATTTTCATTTTCGGATTCGGTCGGGTATGGGTCGGATTTTGGATATTTTGGATATCCAAACTTTTGTAATAAACTACTAATCTACCAAACAGTTTAGTTATTTTGACATTGGATGAAAAGTTATAACACAATGAACAAAATGTACACAATATATAACTTACATAAGGCCTTAGACCATAAGGGACATAAGTGTTAAGTGTTTAAGTGTTAATACACTGGGGAATACACAAATACAAAATAAGAGTTTGAGTGATAAGTGTTTAACACATAACAAAAGTGACAAAAATTACACAATATAAGGAGCATACCCCAGTTCATAAAGAAAGACAGTTGATGAACTTACAAGTTCATCAACTGGCTAACCAAGTAAAACTTAAAAGTTTTCAAAACATAACAAAATAATCATAACACAAATTGACAAAAACACTAGGTAAGCGCCCGTTCAACTCCTTTATACTGCCTTTAAACTGGAACCTATAAAAAAATACAAAAATGTCATTAAGTACATATCAAGCATCTAAACAAATAATACTGTAAAAACTGTATTCATCACACTGACATGCATAAAAGTGGCTCACATACCTGATTTTTAGATCATATTTTGTATGGGGGCATATTATATCAAGTAAATGACGACAACTATTGTAATTATTGTTACCTAGCCATAACTTAACAGAACACCAACCCATGACAAATCAGTCTGTTGCGGAAGCTTCACATAGCCAAGTAAATGATTGAAATGATAAAGGGAGAATAAGCTTGTATTACCATTACACAATTAACAAGTGACATAAGCTCAGATAGCTTATTTTCGAATTCAAATTTTGAATGGGGGCATAAACATTTGAAGTAAATGGCTGCAACTATAGTTACCTAGCCACCACTTAAAACACAACACCAACCCATCAAAAACCAGTTTATCGTGGAAGCTTCGTCATAGCCATTAGCCTATTACCCAATAAATGATTGAAATGATCATTAAAGGAGAATAAGCTTGTGTTACCATTCATTATAAGTTCACAAGGGGAAAATGGGCAATCAGCTTGTGTTACCATTCATTACTAGATTTACTGTTTCCATCATCCATGCCCAATTAACAATCAAAACTGCCAAACAAGTTAGTCATATTTAATGTTCATATATAAATAAGTTATGAAAGTAGAATTTTTACTACGATAGGATCCTGAGAATATCCATCAACATGGCCATCAGGACCACCAGTGACATTACCATCAATTAATTCTGCAAAAAAGAACAAATCAGCATGTTTAATGTAAAAGAAAACATATGTACCTTATATGTAAAACAAAAATAAAAAATAAATAAATTGACCTGTTTCTAGCCTTTGGACTTCATCTATATTTTCTTCAACTGAGATAGAGATGTTTTGATTTATTAGCCAATCTTGAGTACAGATTAAAGCTTCCACAATTTTTGGACTTAATGAACTTCTGAAACAGTCCAACACTCTACCACTAGTACTAAAAGTGGACTCAGAAGCAACAGTAGAGATTGGAACACCTAGAATATCTCTAGCCATTTTTGAGAGGATAGGAAACCTCTCACTGTTAGGCATTACGAAGTGTTTACAGAATAGTATAAGCAGTAGGCTTAACTACGCATGCATAGAAATCAAGTCTCCAACAATCACCAAGGTGAAATCATTCCCACTATCTCAATCAAGGCAGCTAGGCATGCATAGAAATCAAGTCTGGAACAATCACCAAGGTGATTTACAGAATAGTATAAGCAGTAGGCTTAACTATTCTCTACAGACATAGAAGAACCAGTTAACTCTAACTACTCAGCTCGAGTGTTTGAGTCAATCAGGTAACTTCTACAACAACAATAACCAACATGTAATAGGCAACATATATACACACAACCTTACACGGCTTCCACTATCAGAATTCAGAAAGAACAAGCAATCATTCTTTCATCGTCAATCATTCATTCTTCGTAGGGGCCACAATCATTCTTTTGTATACAGAGTTCTCAACATATGAAATCATTCCCACTATCTCAATCAAGGCAGCTAGGCATGCATAGAAATCAAATCTGGAACAATCACCAAGGTGATTTGTAGAATAGTATAAGCAGTAGGCTTAACTATTCTCTACATACTTAGAAGAACCAGTTAACTCTAACTACTCAGCTTGAGTGTTTGAGTCAATCAGGTAACTTATACAACAACAATAACTAACATGTAATAGGAAACATATATACACAACCTTACACAGCTTCCACTATCAGAATTCAGAATGAACAAGCAATCATTCTTTCATCATCAATCATTCATTCTTCTTAGGGGCTACATTCACTCTTTTGTATACAGAGTTCTCAACATATGAAATCATTCCCACTATCTCAATCAAGGCAGACTGACATGCATAGAAATCAAGTCTGGAACAATCACCAAGGTGATTTACAGAATAGTATAAGCACTAGGCTTAATTATTCTCTGCAGACTTAGAAGAACCAGTTAACTCTAACTACTCAACTTGAGTGTTTGTGTCAATCAGGTAACTTCTACAACAACAATAACCAACATGTACTCCCTCCGTCCCATAAAATAAGTCCCACTTTCCTTTTTGGGCCGTCCCAAAAAATTGTTCCCATTTCCCTTTTTGGAAAGTTTTGTGTGGCTAACATTAATTTACCTTTTTCTTACTCAACCACAACCATACACTTCCACTTTATT